GATGACGCATCATCGATTGATGTTAATTAATTACGTCGTACGGTGATTTATTTTCCTACGAGAATATACAATATATTAACGGGGATATTATATTCGGGATCATGAAGAGAAAAAGATATAACTCGAAGAGATATTTCGATATATAACTGTTAACATTGTCCTGTATGAAAATAATGGAGGAATCGTCGCCGAGGATTCGTCCTTACTTGGACTGGGACGTAAGTGATGTGTATTTAAATATTTTCTATTAAAAAAAAAAAAAAAAAAATAAAAAAAATAAAAAGAATAAAGAGAAAGGAACACGAAAAAAAAAAAATAATTTAGCTGAGATAAGTAATGGTCGATGTCGATGATCAATGAAAAGTTTCATTTGATTCTTTTTCTTTTTTTTTTTTTTTTTTTTTTTGTTTTTTTTTTTTTGCTCGCAACAAAGAAATTGTTTAAGTTGCACATTAAAATGAAATTTATCGATAGAATCTATCGATAGAAGTATTATTGATTTCGTGTAAAAAAAATTCGCATGAACAATTCTTCTGTTTAAAAAAAATAAAAAATAAAAAAAAAAACAGAGAGTAAAGAAAAAGGAAAAAGAAAATAATTTAGCTGAGATAACTAATGGTTGATGTCGATGATCAATGAAAAATTATATTCGAATTTTCTTTTCTTTTCTTCTATTTTTTTTTTTTTTTTTTTTTTTTTTTAATTTTTTCTCGCAAATTATTCTCGTAGATTTTTACGTTGTAAATAAAAATAAAATTTATCGCTCGATAGAAATATTATTGATTTCGTGTAAAAAATATTCTTCTGTGAACAATTCTTCTGTTTAAAAAAAATAAAAAATAAAAAAAAAAGAACAGAGTAAAGAAAAAGGAAAAAGAAAATAATTTAGCTGAGATAAGTAATGGTCGATGTCGATGATCAATGAAAAATTATATTCGACTTTTCTTCTCTTTTTTGTATTTTTTTTTTTCCTTTTTTTTATTTTTTTTTATTTTTGCTCGCAAATTATTCTCGTAGATTTTTACGTTGTAAATAGAAATAAAATTTATCGCTCGATAGAAATATTATTGATTTCGTGTAAAAAAAAAAAATTCGCGCGAACAATTATTCTATTAAAAAAAAAAAAAAAAAAAAAATAAAAAATAAAAACAAAAGAGAGTGCAGAAAAAGGGAAGGGGGGAGTAAAAAAAAAAAAAAGGAAAAAGTAATTTAGCTGAGACAAGTAACGTCGATGTCGATGATCAATGAAAAATTTTATTCGATCTTTTTTTTTCTTTTTTTTTTTTTCTTTCTTTTTTCTTTTTTCTTTTTGCTCGTAACATTAAGAAATTGTTTAAGTTGCACATTAAAATGAAATTTATCGTCGATAGAAATATTGATTTCGTTTGAATAATTTAAATAAAAATACGCGGATGTATGTCTCATCCCTTATTCGAAAAAATATATTAAAATGTAGAATCACATTCATAATCATCGGATCGAACGTTACAGATCCCTTCGAGAACCTTTATAAAACTAATTTCGAGTCGGGTAATATAATAGCAGTAATAGTATTGATAGCCGTAGTTGTAGTGGTAATAGCAGTAATAGTGTTCTATCGTTACGTGAATACGAAAGTGTTTCGCATTTAAAAGGGAATTACTTCTTCCAAAGGGAAATCGATTTTAAACGGGTTTATCTAGAACGAAATGTTGACGAAAATTGATAGAGAGCCGTCGTTTAACCGATGAAAAATTGTTTTCTTTTTTTTCCCCCCAAGAAAAAAAAATAAAAAAAAAAAAAAGAAAAAGAAAAAGAAAAAGAAAAAGAAAAAACAGAAAAAAGAATTATTCGACGATGAAATTTTTCATACGAATATAATCGAGCAACGGCGGCATCGATGTATATTTTGAAATATTAAAAAGTCCAAGATTAAATGAAGAATTGTTCGGTAAAAGGTTTTCTATTTTGTTTTTTCTTTTTTTTCTTTCTTTTTTCTCTTTTCTTTTTTTTTTAACTTTATACAGATTTACACAAATGTTTTTGAATAGTGTGAAATAATTCGATCAAATTATTCGAAAATTATTATTCAGGTCAAATATATATAATATTTCCTTCTGGAAAAAAGAAAATGATTTTTGACCTAATATATAGATATATCCTTAATATATATATATATATATACATATATGGTACAGGGTGTTCAAAAAGTATGGAGGTCAAACTTATACTACGTAATATTACTGAGGTCAAATGGATGATAAAAAGTTCATATAAACTTTATTGAGAAGATATATAATACGTTTATTAAAAAAAAATATATATATATATGATTTATTTCCATTTGTCGAATTAATAATTTGTCCAACGATCATGGTTGAACTCTTTTAAATAATCTGACTTATATTTATAGGATACACGCAAGAAAGTTGGTTTATAATAATACGATAGAAATGCGATAAATGAATTTTTACTGAATCTATTCAAAATACATTTATTATTATTTCCAACAGAATTGAAATATTTGAATATTTGAATTTGGCGATTATTAATTCGACGAATGGAAGATCCTGCGGATTCTTGCAGGAAGATGGAATCCAGACAAAACCCAGACGCAACTCAGACGCAACCCATGCATTTTGGACACCTTGATATATATATATATATATATATATATATATATATATTTGTAATATTTGTAATATTTGTGTAGAACGAAGATAAATACTCGGTGGCGAACAGCCAAGCTCCTTTACAAGGTGGCGAGGATGATCATCCAGAGCGTGGCACCTGGACAGGGAAATTTGATTTTCTTTTATCTCTATTGGGATATAGCGTTGGTCTTGGCAACGTTTGGCGATTTCCCTATCTTTGTTATTCCAATGGTGGTGGAGCCTTCTTAATACCGTTCACGGTTATGTTGATCATCGCTGGATTGCCACTAATGTTTATGGAACTTTCCTTGGGTAAGAATAAAACAGAATAAGATAGGAAAAAAAAAAAAATAGACTCTCATATTATTCAATTAAAATTATAGTCTCTAAAGAAACTCTTCAAATGAATTAATAATAATAATAATAATAATAATAATAATAATAATAATAATAATTTCTTTTAATATTTGTTTGTTAAAAAATTGATTAAACTTGAATCACTCTGATCTATCTATCACGTGAACTATATATATATGTATATGTATATGTATATATATATATCTAATGCTATTTTCGAATATTCCAAGTGCACTTGGTATATCGATTATGTTAATTAGATGGTACTATTACATGGTAAATTATCGAGCGCGAATTTCAAGTTGGACTAGAAATAAGATAGATAGAGAGATAGAGCAAAGTAAAGTAGAATATAGAATAGAAGAGAATAGAAGAGAAGTTTGTGAGAATTGTTAAGCATTCGTTGTATCGATCGACTTTTTGAACTTTTCTCGACAGGTCAGTACGCTAGTCTTGGACCAGTAGCGGCTTACAAAAGATTCTGCCCTCTACTTCGTGGCTTGGGCTATGGGATGGTACTCGTTAGCTCCGTCGTGATGCTCTATTACAATTTGATCATTGCCTGGACACTATATTATATTTTTGCCTCGGTCGTTGGTTGGTATATAAGAGAAAAGAAAAAAAAAAAAAAACAAAAAAAAAAAAAAAAACAAAAAAAATAGAAAAAACAATTTTTTTTTGTCCTCCTCTTCAAACTATACGCCATTCTATTTTATCATTAATTAAATCATAATTAATAATAATTAAATGTTTGATTAAATGTGTGTGTGTGTTTTTTTTTTGTTTTTTTTTTTAAACAAAAACCTTATAGGCGCCGGCGAATTACCATGGGCTAAATGTGAGGAACCATGGAGTACCGAGGATTGTTACATGCCCGATGTAGCTGAGGCCTGTTTTTCTCAAGATTATTTTTATTACAAAAGAAGATGCTATAATACAACGCAAATGGCTTCGATGGGATTGACCATTGAGAATATTACCAATGCCATTAGGAGACCACCTGCTGAGGAATATTTCACGTAAGATGTGTAGAAAAAAGGAAAAAAAAAAAAAAAAAGAAAAAAAGAAAAAAAAGTAAAAGAAAGTAGTGCAATTAATGGAACGTACACGCCATTAACGTTCGTTACGATTATATCCGAAATATACAATAACAATTTAATCATTTGTTTCCTTTTTCTTTTCTTTTCTTTTTCTTTTTCTTTTTCTTTTTTTTTTTTTTTTTTTTTTGTTATAGCAATCACGTTCTGGGAATGAGCAGTGGCATCGAAGAAACTGGCTCGATTCGTCCATCAATGGCGACAAGTCTTTTCCTAGCCTGGGTTATCGTATTTCTCTGTTTGAGTAAAGGCGTTCAAAGCTCGGGAAAAGTCGTTTATTTCACTGCGCTATTTCCTTACGTCGTTTTGGTAAGTATTACATCCATTCCATATATCAAGTACAATTAAGTGATTATTAATATCGATCTTACTATTGTAACTCGAGATGTAAAGAGAGAGAGAGAGAGAGGGAAAAGAAAAGAAAGAACGAAAGAAAGAAAGAAAGAAAGAGAGAAAAAAAACACTATGTTTGCAATTTATCATTAGATCGCTCTGTTCGTACGAGGTATACTACTTCCCGGTGCGAAAGAGGGTATACTGTTCTATCTGACCCCCGATTGGAGAAGATTAATGTCAGCCAAAGTCTGGGGTGACGCGGCTGTTCAAATATTCTTCGCCCTTAGTCCAGCCTGGGGTGGATTGATAACTTTGAGCTCTTACAACAAATTCACTAACAACTGTTACAAGGACTCATTGATCGTAGCCGTCAGCAACATCGGAACATCCTTCTTCGCTGGTCTAGTCATATTCTCTGTTATCGGCTTTCTTGCTCACGAACTTGACGTACCGGTTGCATCTGTCGTAGATCAGGGTGCTGGTCTAGCGTTTATCGTTTATCCCGAAGTAAGTTTATTTTATATTATATATATATATATATTTTTTATTACTTTTTATATTTTTTATTTATTACATAAACTACGGCACGTATTTTATCATGACGCTAGAGTTAACCAATTATGAGCCGAATTTGTTTCTTTTTTTCTCTTTTTTTTTTTTTTTTCTTTTCTCATGAAAAAAGCTATAATTATTTGATAAAATCTGGATAAATATAAAGTGTGACCCTGAAAGTTACACGGGCCCATAGAGGGTTGTGTCAGGGTCGAATTTTTTTTTTTCTATTTTTCTTTTTTTTCTCATGAAAAAAGCTATAATTATTTGGTAAAATCTGGATAAATATAAAGTGTGACCCTGAAAGTTACACGGGCCCATAGAGGGTTGTGTCAAGGTCGAATTTTCTTTTTTTCTATTTTTCTTTTTTTTCTCATGAAAAAAGCTATAATTATTTGGTAAAATCTGGATAAATATAAAGTGTGACCCTGAAAGTTACACGGGCCCATAGAGGGTTGTGTCAGGGTCGAATTTTCTTTTTTTCTATTTTTCTTTTTTTTCTCATGAAAAAAGCTATAATTATTTGGTAAAATCTGGATAAATATAAAGTGTGACCCTGAAAGTTACACGGGCCCATAGAGGGTTAAATAAAAAATTTGGATGGTGGAACACCCAAAAGTATGTCCGTTAGATATATAAATAATAACAACAACAACAACAACAATAATGACAATAAAAAAAAAAAAAAAGAAAAAAAAAGGAAACGAAACAAAACAATTTTATTATCAGGTAGTAGCACGTCTACCGGTTGCGCCACTCTGGTCATTGTTATTTTTCGTAATGCTATTGACCTTGGGATTGGACTCGCAATTCGCATTAATGGAGACGGTAACAACTGCGATACTCGACGGTATACCAGCATTAAGGAATTATAAATTTTGGGTAGTATTGTCGGCAGCTGTTCTCGGTTATGCCGGTGGTATTATATTCACAACGAACGTGAGTATGCATTTCAAATGAATTTTCTGATCTATTAGATTATGATTATTATCAAATTGTCAGATAATCATCTCGTTGTTCATATATATATATATATATATATATATATATATATATATATATATATATTTATATATGTATGTATTAATTATACTTCTTTAGGCTGGCATGTATTGGCTACAATTGATGGACAAATACGCAGCTAATTGGTCTGTCCTATTGATCGCCATAAGCGAATGCATTTTAGTAGCATGGATCTATGGCGCCGATCGATTTCTCGACGACGTACAACAAATGATAGGACCACGTGGTCGTCTTTGGAGATTCTTTTGGACTTGGATGTGGAAAGTTGTAACGCCTGCCGCCTTATTCTTCATTTTGTTCTTCAATTGGGTCGAGTACGAACCATTGAAATACGGTTCTTACGTTTATCCCAAGTGGGCCGACGCTGTTGGCTGGGTCGTTGGTATACTGCCCGTTTTAGTGATCGTCGGTTTGGCTATTGTAAGTTTCTTTCTTTCTTTCTTTCTTTCTTTCTTTTTTTTTCTTTTTTTTTTTCTTTTTTTTTTTTTTACAGACACTTTTGCATTCCGTTTAATTGGAATTTCCATTGAAACGTACAAATCCAAAAAAAAAAAAAAATTAATCCTTTCCAATGAATCTTTCGTTTCTACATTATTATTCCTGGTTACGCGTATGATGGAGCATTGGACACCAACAATAAGTGCTCGATTAAAACAAACTTCGGCGTTGCATGAATTCAGAAATTTTTCTTTTTTTTTTTAATTGCGTTTTCAAACCTACCGATTATTATTTCCGTGACTTCAAAGATTATTCTTTGCATTATTGCAGTATTTTTTTTTTTTTTCTTTTTGGAGTCAAAATTATTCATGACAGTCGTTCGAAGTATCTGTATTGCGTAGCACGAAAAACCCCTTGAGTGTACAATTTGAAATTATTTGGAGATGTGCACGACTTGAAATTATTTTGAAATGTACATTAACTAGGATTATTATTAATTCGTATCGTAATAATATAGTGATTAATTTTTTCCTTTTTCTTTTTCTCTTTTTTTTTTTCTTTTTTCAAAAAAAAAAAGAGAAATAAATAATCGAAGCCAATCTCTCGTATCGCAATATCTCGTGCATTCAAATCGTATATGATCGTTCATTTTTTTCTTTCGTCTAGAGCCAATTGAGAAATACTCGTCGACGACCTACCTACGACGACGATGACGACGAGGACGATGATCTCGATGCAAGAGCTACCAATAAAAGGGGTGGAAAGACGAAACAAAGCAAGAATAAGAACAGAAAAGTCTGGTATCGTGCAAGAATGTTGCTACAGCCGACTTCAGATTGGGGTCCTGCTGCGCCTAACGTTACGTTAACGCCATCGAGGACGCTTACTCATACACCGTCACCGGGTAATCAAATATTTCATATTATATATTTTCAATAATCAAATCCTGTCACACTATTGTGCGGACAATGTAATTAAATCATTTCATTTCTTTTTTTCTTTTTTTTTTTTTTTTTTTTCTTTTTAAATCTATCAATTGCCAATTGCGAACGTCTTTTCTCTCTTATTTTTATTTCTCTGATTTTTTTTTATTTTTTTTTATTTTTTTTTTTTTTACGATAAGGTCATTTAATTCCATTCGAATGAAATTCACATGATCGCGAGTGTTAATCATATTTATTATTAATTCGTTAAATTATTGAAACAATTTGTCAAACGTTCGATTTTTTTTCGATCTCGATCATTTATTTAGGGCCCCCAGGTGGTTACGATTCCGTACGAGATACAATAGTCTTGGTGAACGGCCAACCAATGATGGTACAGCCATCATCCGGTGGTACTAGTACCACCCAAAAACTTCCCGGGCCTTCGATACTCAAGAATTCAAGCAAAACCGACCTGATAACTTCGCAACAGGTCTGACACGACGTTCATTTTATCCTCGAGGACGAATCCATCCGGGATTCTATCGCCATTAACACTACTAGCCAGTAATAATATGTAACAATTGTGGATTCCGCGCTTATACGAGAAGCTACAAAGGAGAAAAATTAAAAAAAAAAAAAAAAAAAAACAAAAATAAAAAAAAATAAATAAACAAATAAATTAATAAATAAATAAATAGATAAATAAATAAATAAATAAACAAATAAAAAAGAAAAAAAATACAAAAGAAAAGAAAAGAAAGAAAGAAAAAAAAAACAAACAAACAAACGAACGAAAAAAAGGACAAAAAAAGAAAAAGACGAAGAAAAAAACCAACAACAAAAAAGAGTGATTTGTAAAATTATGGATATCTATATATATCTATATATATATATATATGTGTGTGTGTATATATATATATATACATATATGTATGTATATATATATGTATATATATATGTATATATATATATATATATATATATATATATATATATATATATATATATATATATATATATATATATACATATATACATACTTCAAGATCTAGTCAACGATAAATCAATGTACTGTCCATATACGATATTACCGAGCGCGACCTGATCGAGACACCCGGTATATGAGTGTGTCAAAGTAATATGAATAAGTCTCTCATTTGCCGACGAGGATGAATCCCTTAAGTTTTTCACTTTTAACGTTGCATTTTTTTTTTTTTTTTTTTTTTTATTGTTTTCTTCGTCCTAACGATTACAGATTATCATTGTCTTTATTATTATTATTATTATTATTGTTATTATTATTATTAATTTCATTATTATTGTTGATGTTATTATCGTCATCATCATCATCACCATCATCATCATCATCATCATTATCATGATTATCATTGATTAGAAATTTAACAAATTAACGTTAAATTATATCGTAGTTATTTAATTCGAACGTTAATAGCAATTTATTTCATTAATTCGATAATACGATTCGTCCTCGGATTTGGATATATAAGATTAAAATTAGATAAAATATATTTCGATTGGATTATGACGTCGAGTTTTAAATATGAGAAATTCGTCGTGTTTTTGCGTTGGATATGTAGAGTATGATCGATATATAGAGGAAAGGATCGAGATATAAATACGTAGGAAGATATCTAATTAAGATTAAGGTATTTGATTAAATTATATCGATCTCCTCGCGTGCTAACAAATTAACGAGGCCTAATAATAGAGAATGGTCATTTTAATCGGATTAATGATGATATTGAGTATAACATTATATTGACAGTATTACGTTCCTAATGTCAGAGAGAAGTATGTGATCGGTGTCATCCAATTTGGTTGTACATTAGTGACGTAGGCAAAGCCTAATAATAGTCGTAGTTATTGATACGGGTATATATAGAAAAGAACGCCGTTCTTTTGAAATTTATTTTCAATATATCATGCATACGATATATATATATATATATATATATATACATATATATATACATATATATATATATACATATATATATATATACATATATATATATATATACATATATATTGTTTCAATGATATAAAATTTAATTTTTATGTGTGTGTCACTGTGTGTGTATATGTGTGTGTGTGTGTGTGTGTGTGTGTGTGTGTATGTGTATGCATGTATGCGTGCGTGTGTGCGCATAATATATCGGTTTCAAATTTCAATAATTAAATGTTATAATTTATATCGAATTGAGAACCTCTGCCGTCTCTCTGACGTTTCATTCGAACCTGGCTAGAGTGCGCGCGACACGTCACGTGATCATGAATGAGACATGCCTGCGTAGTAACTAGTACCAGTGGTGCTCAATATGTTTGTTTTCTTTTTCCTTTCTCCTTTTCTCTCTCTCTCTCTCTCTCTCTCTCTCTCTCTCTCTCTCTCTCTCTCTTTTTCGAGTATAAAATTTAAAAACGATTTCGAAAGAAGGGTGTTCACGTATCGTAAAAGTCTTCGTTTTCATTATTTCCATGGTTTATCGATATGATATAAGTCATGTCGTCTTCCTTCTATTACATTTAGCTTATTAATGTCCTCCAATGTATCTCGTGTGTATGTAAAGAGTGTAAGAGAAAAATTGAGAAAGAGAGAGAGTGAGAGAGAGAGAGGGAGAGAGAGAGAGAGAAAGATTAAGAGAAAGGCAAAAGAGTAGAAAAGAAAAAGAAAGATTGCAACAATCGGCTGGACATACAGTAAAATATTTTTCCATATTTATCGATTGTTGCCTATTTTTGCTGTCTCATAGAGAATAAATATATTCGATATATAGATATATATATATTCCCGGCCGGCCGTCCCCACTTACCCTCTTCCACTCTCCCACCCCCCTCCGACCCCACGCCCCTTGATCGATCGAACATTAAAGAACGATATTTCTTATATCGACGAGTGCGTTTAAAGATTATAAACGATCATGTTCAAATAGATTACAGAGACGTACAAAAATGCATAAGTTCCGGGGACGACGACGACGCGATGTTATTTTCGAATAAAATAATTATTTTCTCGAAATAGATAAATAAATAAAGAAATAAATAAATAAATAAATAAATACATTAATTAATTAATTAATTAATAAATAAATATCAAAAAAAAGAAAAAGAGGAAAAAAGGAAAATTCGATTCGGAAAGTAGATTATACTTGGATTTAATATAGTAATTAATTAATAATAAAACGAGTTTATGTATATCTCTAAGGGGGGAAAAAAGCATTGTCGAGGAAGTTAGTCCCTTCGCAATTTATGATTAATCTATCGCGAGAGAAAAGGTGAGGTTCACAAAGGAAAAAAGAACGTTGAAGTACTTACATAGGGATGATAAATTTGCGCGGTATTAAAAAGAAGAAGGAAAAAAAGAAAAAAAGAAAAAAAACCAGAAAAATAGAAGGAAGAAAGAAAAAGGAAAATAATTAAAAACGCGAGAGAGAAAAGGAGAGAAAGAAAAAAAAAAAATAAAACATGTAAAAATAGAGAAAAAAGAAATATGTCCGATACAAAACCGACCTACGAGAATTAATTAAAACCAATGAGATTACACGATAATTACGTAGTACGAATATAATGAACTTCTCGATATTATTAAATTGTATTCGAATATTTGCATATCCAGGTGCGTTTGATACTAATTCTCGTTTAGGAAAAGAGGATGGAGAGGAAAGGGGAGGCGGCGGCGGCGGCGGCGACGGCGGGGTGGTGGTGGTGGGGCAGGAAAAAAAACAGAACTTCGAAATTACAAAATTCACATAGATGCGTACTATTATTTAAAAAAAAAAAAAAAAAAAAAAAAAGAATATTACAAAGATGAAAGACGACGGAGAATAAAAAAAAAGAAAGCGCGTTAGACGACGAGAAGATATATGTTCTTTCTCTTTTTTACTTTTTTTTTTTTTTTCTTTTTTCGTTTTCCTTTCTACGAATCGAAATAAACATACATAAAGTTTTGCATTTTATTTAAATATAATTGATTATAATAATAATAATAATAATAATAATAATAATAATAATAATTATTATTATTATTATATATATTATTATATTATTATTATTATTATTATTATTATTATTATTATTATTAAGTTCTCACTAGAATCGACCAAATCACAACACCTCATTATAATACAGAACAATGATGGAATTGTTTTTGTTAGAGTAAGAACTAAGCAAACAAAACAAAGAAAAAAAAAAAAAAGGAAAAAACAAATAAATAAATAAATTGTAAAGGTTCTCAAACAGAGAAAAGACTGCGCGTGCGTTGTTGTGAGCAATGTATGTATGTATAATAATGCATTAACGCGATAATAGTCTTGCAAAATTAATAATGGAGTAATTAGTGACAAGGAGAAAATTAAATGGGTTTAAAAGGAAAATTTTCACTCGATATATTAAAACAAACAGGAATAAAAAGAAAAAGAAAAAAAAAAGAAAAAACCTCAGGTCGTCCAACGGATTAATTAAAAAAAAAAAAAAAAAAAAAAACAAAAAACGAAAAACGAAAAACAAAAAAAAAACAAAAAGAAAAGAAAAATAAGAAAAAAGTAATTCTAATGAAATAAGACAATGAAGTGAAATTAAAATTATAAACGTGACGAGAAAATAAATTAAGATAATATGAAATAAAATGACTAAAAAAAAATAAATTAATTAATTAATTAATTAATTAATAAATAAACGAATAAATAAAAAGGATAGAAAAAAGAAGGAGAAATCGAGAGAAAGAGAGGGAAAGATAGACGTGGTAAAATGAAAAGATAGACAGAGAGAGAAGGACAGGTAGAGAGAGAGAGAGAGGAGAGAAAGAGAGAGAGAGAGAGAGAGAGGAGAGATACTCCATTGCGTGTACGTACAGTCAATAATGTCAAACCAAATAGTAATCATTTATTTTTTATGTCGATCTGTTTGTAAAGTATCATACCTATTACAGATAATAATAATAATACATACATACATATATACACACATACATACATACATACATACGTATATACATACATAAATACCTACACAGAAGAGGTTATATATACACGTGCGTTACATATATATATATATATATATATATATATATACACACGCTTGTATGTTGATGTATATCGTCGCAGAGTTTATTATACGTATTACGAAGAGACATTGTTTGATAAAAAAAGAATTTAAGTGGAGTAAAATAAGTAGAAGTATTATTACTATTAACAAAAAAAAAATATATATATATATAAATAAAAAATAAAAATTAAAAAAAGAACAAAACAGGAAAAACAACCCTAATGTCCGCGTTAAAAAAGAAAAAAAAAGCTCTCTCTCTCTCTCTCTCTCTCTCTCTCTCTCTCTCTCTCTCTCTCTTTCTTCTCTTTCTCATATCCATAAACGAATTAAATACACTAAGTATGCGTCATTGATAAGCTTGGGTGTTTTAAGTGTGTGCGTGTATACATGTGCGCCCTTCTATATATACATATATATATATATATATATATATATATATATATATATATATATAAAGTGTTTATTAAATATCTGTAATTTCGAAGAAAATATGATATATTACTTGTTAATTTATAAATTTGATTTAATTCTAAATAATAGACAATTGTTCGACGTGTTCTACGGTACGATTTGATTTTCCAATTTAAGAAACAATTGTTAGATTTAATCTGAAA